ATCGTTGGCACCGAGCCCCGAAAAATGTTCGTCCCTGCGTTCTGGTTTTGAATTACCGGAGTTATATCCTCTACTCAGACCGGTCATATAATCTTCTTCTTTAGAAAACTGTTACAGCTGTCCTCAACTGTATGATCAGTCCTGATTGGCGACATTTACCCAAATTCAGGGAGGACTCTTCTTTGGAAATGAAGAAGGACATCGAGCTTGCTTGGAGCTCAGAACCGAGCGATCCAATCAGTTATCAATTTTCCTACAAAATCTTGGACGGTGATGAAAGCGGCAGAGACCCCACACATGATGATTTCGACTGGATGTCAAAGTCTTGCCTGTTCTTGATCGCGAACAGTGGAAATAAGGTAAAATAACCGGCTCGCTTCTACGTTTTGATAATCCTTAGAAAGTACGTTTTGAGCTAATTGCATTTGATTGACGTATCATATTATTTATAACTGACACAGGAAGCCATTCAACATCCAGTGGTTCGACGACTTGTCAAAAGGAAATGGATCCACTATGGTCATTTTTGGTTCAGGTGAGATAATTACGACATACTGGTCATTAGAGCTTGGCAAATATGTCGTGCTCAAGAACACACCACTATAATATCGCACGTTAAGGAGCAATGCCTTATTTATTCAAAATCATAATTTGCAAACCGCGATGATCTTCTTTATCGTGAAGTATCTTGGGTTAGTTCCTTTCTAGATTTTTCGCTGTTTTTTTAGTTTGAGTTTCTTTGTAGGCCGTTGAATGCGTGGAGGAACCCCTTGGGATAGCAATCAAACAAAATAAGTATTGATGGGTCGTAAGGGAACAAGGATGTTTGAAATTGGGTGACGTTGACTTGGATTACAGAACAGGTTTTCTTTTGTCTTCATCAGGGACGTTTACCTACCTCCCCTGGAAAACACCAAAAGCCACGCCTATTCGATAAGCTATGAACAGTAGGAGCAATGTCTTTTAAGATAAACAAGCCGTGGACTCATCACTTGCTTTTGAACTTTTTCTTCCTCAGTGTTCAGACCGGTCTGTACCTAATGTTTCTCTTGCTGTTGTCGTTCTCTTTGCTTTACGGCGCAACTAAATCAGACCCAACAAAATACCAGGGAAGTGCGGACGGGCTAAGAATGATCTGCGAGATTTTTGTTGTCGTGTGGATTGCGGCCTACATTGCTGACGAGGTTAACGAAATCGAAAAGTAAGTACATCATCAGTTCTTACAATTTTTTTTTCATGTTCTTTCGATCGCGTTTGGGATCGTCCGTGCAATGGTAGTTCAAATTGACAGTGACTGACGTATCGACAAAGCTCAGACGAGATTGTCAGCATCAGTCAGGGTAAAGTGAAGAAGTTTCTGTTTTTGGTATTTTTCTCAGACGAATAAGTCTCACTATGAAAGATAGACCTCTTTTGAGGTCCGCACAGTAAGTCACGGACCAAGGTTTTCCCGCTCTATGGTTCAAGCGAAGCACGCGGGCTATAACTTCGAGTGGAAAAAACAAGGTTCGGTAACTTTTAGTACGGACAGAAAAAACGAAGTTAGTGAGATATTTATTATTTCTCTGAGCTTAAATAGAGGGGTAAGATTTCGATTCAAACTTTTGAATTTAGCGGACTGTAAAGTTAAATACTGTAATACCATCCCTGATATCCATTTGATTATGGCATTTTCTACCTTTTTTCTTTTCACGAGCTAAGAGGCTGAGCTAAGAAGTTTTTCCTTGTCTCGTTCGTCTTGTAGGAAACGCTGGAGTTACTTGAAAGTTCCACAAGTTTACTTCAATCTGTTTGACTGGCTTGGATTGATACTAATTCTGTCAGTAATTCCTCTTCGATTTTCACGGCATGAAGGCCAGTGGGCTGTCGCCTCTGTGGGCTTTATATTCAACGTCCTTCGGCTTTTCAAGTATTCTTGTGTAACCAGGTAATTTGATGTTGTTGATATAACGCGTTCTTCGTACAGGTATTTTAAAACCATAGCCGGAGTAATCAGAGCGGCCAATCAGAAGAAAGCCGGTGAATATCACAAGGAACCAATGAGAATTCGAAGTACAAACAGGCAAGCGACCTCAAACGCGGGAAAACGCAGGTGGCTAAGTCGCAGTGGGTTTGAGCTTTCGATCTGATTGGTTGTGAGGAAGGCGCGAACTTATTAAACCAATCATCGAGGAGCATTCGAGCTGAAAAAGGGTAATAGATCCGAAGCGCGGGAAAACGCCAGTAGTCTAGTCGCGATCTGTTTCAGCTTTCCAACAGATTTGTTAAGATGATGATGTGAGTTTTTTAGACCAATCATAGGGCGAGTTACGCAATGTCAAATGAATGCAAGGTTATTTGCGACTCCCAATTAAAAATTGCTCTGTTTGCTTTCATGTTTTGTATGTGTTTTGTAGGGCAACTGGACTGTATACAAAGACGCTAGCCAGGATTGTGTACCGTGATATTACTCGCTTCAGCTGCGTATTTCTCGTCGTATTCTTGGCTTTTTGTGGAGCGTTTTTCTTATCCTTACGTGTGACAAGTGATGTCAAAGTCTTTGGGTAAATATATTAGCTTTATGTTTGCGGATTTTCCTTCTACTTGTATCAGTTGAAGTTAGTAAAGAGGACGAGTCGTAAATTATCCCAGAGTTGCACGAGTACTCGTCGTACTCACGCCGAAGATTGTCTCGCCGAATCTAATATGCTAGTAACCTTCGTCGAGTTACCGAAGATTTTACGATTCTTTTACCCACCAATTAGGTTGCACACGTATTCACGTCTATGCCGAAGGTTGTTATGTCGGGTCCGTAGGTTCGTTTTGTTGCCCTGTAACCTTTGTAAAAAAAATTTCAGGTCACTATCTGCCTTGGGGCTTGTAATCTAGCTTGAAAACTGGCATTGCTCTTTCTGGTGCATGCGTCAATTAGGCGTTCCATTTTTGACACCAAGCGTGCAAAGTTGAGCGTCAAATGTAATCGTTTGAGCTTAGTAATTTTCATTATTCTTCTCTTTTATTTAGTGGTTTTGATATGGTTATGTTGAGTGGTGTCAGAGCTTTCGTGGAACAACAGCCGGCTGCGGACGATTATACAAAATTCAAGTAAGGTTTAATTAATTTTGAAAACTCGTGTGAATGGCCATATTTTAGTGTTTCACCCCTAGACCACTAAGTTAGAACCACACTGCACAGCGCAGATTCCTCTTGCTAACCGAATTCCGCGCTCTCTTTTATTAAATTGGTTAATTGGTTAATTATTAAATTTTTATTGAATATTGGTCTATAAATCTGAGCGGACTAAAAACAGGGTACCGAGGTTAGTAAAATATTTATTTTATCTCTGGGTTCACATTAGAAGGGGAAGATTTAAATTCAAACAAACTTTTGGATTTAGCCGGCTGTACATTGAAATACGGTCACGCACTCAGAGTTACTAGCTCGGTGTAGAGTTCTCCTCGGTGAAAATTAAGATGTTATTTTGTTTTCGTCATCAGATGGCTTCCACTGTTTGTTCTTCTGACGTACATGATGGCTGTTGTGGTGATACTTCTTAACATTTTGATCGCTCAAATCAGTAGTACCTACTGTGAGGCTAAGAAGAATGCCAGACTCCAGTATGATGTGGACAGAATGCTCATTATTACAAGACTAGAACACAGCAGATTCCACAAATTCGTAAGTTTGTTAATTTAAGACTTTGCCTAGTTTCTCTGCATTGCTTAAAGTTCTTATGGTAATGCTTTAATCCATTTGCGCAATTTCTATTTTTCTTTTAATACAAGTAGTCTGATGAGGATCCTAGCATATGAAATTATTGCTGAGTAGAGTATACCTCCCAGTAATATTTTTCCTTAGTTACGCAAAACAAATGTATGTTCCCTCTTCACGTGCTTAACGCGACTTTGTCCTCAAATTTTGCTTCTGTTAGCCGTGAGCGCAGATCTATGAACTTTTTCTCGCGCTATGGATAACTTGCGTAGTCGTTAATATTCTGGCACTTTACGAAGGAAGTCCTGGTCCTACATTTTCCTTCGCCTGGCAGAGGGACGCGGCATAACATAAATTTTTAGCACTTTGTGAAACAAAGCTAGCTGCGAATTTTCCTGTTTAATGCATAGGGTCATGACAAGTTTTTTCCGTAAGTGTGAGAACTCACCACAGCGATGGCTTGCACATCCCTTTCACGTTATGCAAAGGTTTGCTCCGTCCAGATTAAATATTTGCTTGTGTCTTCTTGTTATTTTACAGAATCTGCGGCTAAATTACTATCAGGAGGAAGAAATTATCGACGAGATGACTCTGGCAAAAGGTATACAATACACATAACGTTAAGATAAATAAATTCACGGAACAACAAAAAGCTTACACAAGTTCCGTCGCATCGACATTTTATACACACTGTCTGATATAACCAGAAAAAAATAGTCTTGACGTCAAAGAAATCCCAAAATAATAGCTCAACATAGAAGAAACTGTTTAAAGAATTAGGAATAAATGTAAAAGAAACAAGATGGTTTGATTTTAAAACAATGAGAGTAGGTTGACGTACAGTGGCTAACTTGTGACTCGCAACTGAGTTCAGCATCGTTTCGACTATTGTAGCTGACTGTATATAACAATCAATGAAGTATGAAACCAACAGTATCCGCATACTTTCCTTTGTTAAGCTTTCTGGAGCAGGTCTCTGTTTTAAATTGTGACTTTAGTAATTTAAAGGAAAGAAATGGTTATTCATGTTCAATGACAGATCTCTTAGAGTACAATGAAGACAGGTCGCCGTGGGAGACAGTTGAGGAGAAACTGGATGAAATCAGGTTTGTAACCGAATATTTTGTTCTCATGGGGATTATACTTTAGACATTATGGACTTTTAAAAAAATTGTTTTGGTTTTGTCTGTTTCTTTTCAGGGCTATCATGCGGAAGATCATTAAGCGAATACCTTTACAAGATTAAGATAAAGAGAGATGATGCGCTAGAAGATTGAACTTAAAGTGCACAAGAACGTAATCAGCTTCTTGGATCGAAATTTAAACAATTAGAACAAATTGCATTTCGAAAAACGTAGTTTAAAGAAAGGTGTTTTTAGTTTTGCCACATGAAAAACCAAAAATCAAAGATAAAATTCTGAGTTCGAACCCCAGGCCTTCATACTTTTGACTGCGGTGTTCTGCCACTGAGCTCTCAAGAACTCAAAGGTGAGCCAGGCCATTTCTAGAACGTAGTTAATCAACTTAATAAAAGCCAAAAGACTATTGACGGGCGACATGAAGCCTTATACGCATATTTTAGTCTCGTACCCAGACCTTTCACGGCCAAGCCTACATTTTAGTAACAGTCACACAGTGGGCTCTGGGTACGAAATTATGCATATTTAACAAGAAGAAGAACGGTAATAGTCGAAACAAAGCTCACTTCTTGTTTTTAAAAAAAACTAAAGGATTCTATGTAACGAAGGCCAAAACAAAACCTTTTTATCACTTTATGACATCAGAAGCTGTGCAGTATGTAAAACTTCAACCTAAACTGTTTAATTAAGAGGCCAAGAGTGTACACGTAGTGTAAACTAGCCTTATATTTATTTACTGTAAATATCGATTACAAAGTGCAAAGTAGCCTAATTTGACAGCTAAGATTAAAAAGTTTACATGTTAGTGAACGATGCAAATTTAAAACAGAGTGACTCATTTTCATGGCAGTACCGGTAAATAACTTTGGAGTCTTCACTGTAGTTCTAGACATGACAGGAAGCATACGATTCACCCTTTAACCCCGAAGAGTGACAAACATCTAATTTCTCCTTAAATCATGACCCTTAAATCACAAATTAAGGTTACGAGAGTGAAGGAAATGATCAACAACTTCAAAAAAACTTGATTGTTAAACAAATTCTCCTTGTCAGCACCTTAGGAACTTATGGAGAACATTAGGGAGAATATGCATACTGATGTTAGGGTGTAAACGGTTAAATGAGCGTGAGGAGAATATGGAAACACGAAGCGAAGGAGCTCCTGTCATGCATGTTACCTCTTAAATCCAAGGGCGTGAAATACCTCGGAATACGTGCCACGTGCCACGAGCCACGTGCCACACGTGCCACGAGATCTAGTGTGAAGAGACTTTCGTATTTATTTATCAGTTTGTTTGTTTTTTGTTTGGTTCGTTAATTTGTGTTTTGTTTATAGGTTCGTGTTTGTCTCTAACCATGTTTTTGTTTGTTTTCTTTCTGGTTTAGTCTATGTTTGGGTTGGTGTTTAGTTTTGTCTTTTTCAGTTTTCCGTTTTTGTTTTTGTTGCTTTTTAACAGTCGTTTGGTTCTGATAAAACCTCTCAACTACTCTATGACCAATGACCACTAAGTTTTATTTCTTGTTTTTCTTGACGATCCCTTTTATCGTGTCCACAATTTGTTCCACCTTTGGGTTGGCTTTCAACTCCAGCGACTCACTAACGTGGAAAATCCTCTTCGGAATTCGATCGTAAAACCATTGCTCTGGTCTCCATCCGTAATGAATCACAATTACCCGCTTTGCCATCTCGTCTTCCTCCAAGAATGCTTTAGTGATACTGCCATCGAATACTACAAATTCTTCGTTAAAATCAAACGCTCCCTCCTGCAGAAACTTTTCGCTTTCTTGAGTGTAAACAAGAACGATGCATGGGCTTTGAAAAAGCTCATCCTCCAGAGTAGAATCGTCCTCCAGGGCGTCACTTACTGTGCTAACTTTAGCTAAGGAGCCTAATTTTCCTTGAAGAAAATCTTTCAACTCCTGGCTGCGGGTTTGATCCGCTTGCGCGTAGAGAAAAAGCACGTTGGACATGATATTTGATCTACGAATTAACAGAAAATAATTAGTCCTTTTGTTAACTGAAAACCCGCGATAATTTTTTCAAAACTCAGTATGATTCTTTAACAAGGACCAATTAGGGAAAATTCATAATTTTAGACAAATTTACTCGTCACGTATACTTTACAAAGCATTTCATGCTTCACAGATTTGTAAGAGAAAACTTCAAATCTCTCTTCTTGTATTCAAGGTTTCAGGGAAACCTTGAGGTATTCTCGGAATGAAAGGAAAAATTCACGGGTGACGCGTATTTCTGGAGGCAAATCATGTCACACTTCGGTTTATAAATTCACGAATCACGCTCGCTCTCCTGAAAAATTCACGCGTTACCTGTAATTTTTGCGCCAATCACGCGTTACGTGTAAACTCTTGGCCGCACTCTAGTTAAGACGCCATCTTTGTTGATGTGCGCACGCCGATCTCAAGTGAGACATCGGACATAGTGCTTGGCAATACTACGGAATAAAGTGATGGTAAAAAGAGCTTCAACATTACCTCACATGCGCAACAAACGATAGTAAAAACAATAGGCGAATAGGGAGTTACTCGCAAAATTCTTCATTTGGATTAAGCGTTCCTTACCAAACGCCTTCCACCCATTCACCGATTTCTTAAAAGCGACGACTGGATACCGAGTAGATGTAAGGCATTGCACCGCATCGTAGAGGTCATGGGTTGAATTTGCGGGCCTTAATTTCACTACTGCTCAAGTAGCGTTATTACTGTGAAGATCGCTCTTATATCCCGTAAGCGCTCAGTAAAAAAAAGTGTTCTATCTTCTTCATTTCCCAACAGCGCTGCAATATACTATCGTACTTCCCCGAAAAAAAGAAAGCCTGATATCAGTTTGAAGAAGCCTGCAGAGCAGGCGTTTTCAGGCGAGCGAGTGTTCAGTATTTTCGTAGCAATAATTATGGCCGCCATCTTCGATTTTAATGGCAGCCAAAGGCTGGGGAGAGAAAAAAGTAATTTGTACCAAGGGGTCAGCCGACGGACAAAAATAAAGGGAGAGGTGGGGATGGGGAAGTGAGGATAACCCGCCCTTCCCCTGCCCCCTACCCTCACCGTTCACTCTAATTCCAAATCAAACATGATCGGTCGGATAAACAGTCGCGGGCCTATAACGTTCACTCGCACTGAAGGCTAAGGTTGAAGTAATAACTTTCAAATCGCCCAGTCACGCATTCCCTGACACCACATGTAAGAAGAATGCGTGACGAGCCTTCTTGGAGGTTCTATGGCTGCCTGAGCGGTTGACCTTTGACTTTCGCGTTCCATCCATTTTCTTCAACTGAATTTAATTTATTTTCCAAAGAACGATAAAGTAATTGTAACCATAGGCACACACTTCTGGCATACTTCAGAGGAAATGGGTTGTAAACTAAGCTTTTCTGGCTAATGATTTAAGCAGATAATCGATAACCTGATGAGCTACGCGATCAGATTTTAAAACAGATGCCGTCTAATCTGGTGTAATGCAGGAAACAAACATCTTTTTGTTGTGTAATTTGTGGTTTCTGTTTATAGCAAGCAAAAGGTGATCGCTTCAAAATTGAGAAAATTCTAATGAAATGAAACATACTGGTGCTACAAAAGGAAAGATCTATATGAATTGACGGGAAATATTTCATTTTTTTAAACTGGTAGAAACAGATATAAATCAGTGCTCGCTCAAAAGGTGATACTCATTGCGTTACCAGTTTGGAGTCGTCAAAGTGTTTGTTTAAACTTAAAATAATTTTCCACATTTAATTCGTTTGACGGTCTTCAATGCGGACTCATTTCAGCTTTTCAGTTTTTTGAAGCAAACGGTTTTGAAACATCTCTTGATGTTTCGCTAAATGTAGTCTTTAAATCGAACTAAACGCTTAGCGTCTCGCTCACTTAGAAAAAACCCACGTGGTCTGTCTCTTAATTCGCAGCTTTAAAACAAGCTTTAGCTTCAATAGACAATATCATTCGTTACCTACCTCTGCACTGTGTCGTTTTGGTCGACTGAACTTTTCAGTGGAAAAATTTGCGGCAGATTTCTTTAAAACTTTCATCACATGTGCAGCATTGTCAATCGATTCGTTCAATAAAAACTCGAATTACCGGAACTTCAAGAATGTGAAACAAGAGCCCTGTTTCAATTTTT